TGCAATGGAGGCAACAGTTTTGATAACCTATAAAAGTTAGGTTCTAAATTCCTATGCAGTGTGACTCAGTTAAATAGAGCCTAGAATGCCTATTTGGGAATATTCACTCAACTGATACAATATATGTGTGCTATATTCTTCCACAAACATGTTAATGCCTAAGACTATGTAATTTAGCTTTTTTTTTAAAAAAAAAAAAAAAACTTCAACAAGGATTTTTATCTTTAAGGCGGTATTAGATAACATTTATTTCTAGCATTCTCCCCCTTTAAAATCTCTACAAAAACAAATCTTTTGTTAAACCATTCAAAGTTCACACAAAGGTAATTACCACTACCTTAAAAAAATGCCCATCTACATCAAAAATTCAAGAGGCCTAAATATCCCCTCATAAGCACTGCAGTTCCTGAAGTATGGCCATTTCTTTCTGTGTAGAAACAAGAGGTACTGTGTAAGTCTTAACACCCTATCTAAACAATGTTCCAAAGATCTGGAGTTTAGCATAGCAATTCAAATCATACTGATTTTTACATAGAAGTTTCCTTGTCTGTGAACTAGTTCAGGCACCTGTTTATTTGTACCCAGATAAAACTATTAATTTTTAAGTATATTTTAATTATGCAGAGAAAACTGGAATATTACACATTTGGGAATTTCAATATGAATATCTGACATACACCTTAATGTGTACAGTAACTGTCTCAATAGAATCACATAGTTATGCCAAATTAAAAAAAATATATAATCAAGTTTATTCCTTTAAACAATGAAGTGATTTACATAAAGTAGCTCGATCAAAGAGTTTCACTGGAATCATAGCAAAACAATTATAGAGCAGGCACAGGGACCAAACCCCTCTTTGCAAAACTAAAATACACACTGTGTTATCTCTGGGCCATGGGCTAAAAGCCTTACTCAGATACTACAGACCACGCTAGCACTAGCTAAGGACCAGGATTATGTCTCTTGTTTGGGGATACCATATACCTAGTGCCTTGTGAAGTGACTGGCATCTGGTAGGCACTCAATAAATATTTGCTGAATAAATGAGTTCTGCAAAACAGCTTTATGAGGCTGAGGCAGGTGAATCACTTGAGGTCAGGAGTTCGAGACCAGCCTGGCCAATAGGGTGAAACCCTGTCTCTCCTAAAACTACAAAAATTAGTCAAGTGTGGTGGCACATGCCTGTAATCCCAGCTACTCAGGATGCCGAGGCACGAGAATCGCTTGAACCTGGGAGATGGAGGTTGCAGTGAGCCGAGATGGCACCATTGCATTCCAGCCTGAGTGACAGAGTGAGACTCTGACACCAAAAAAAAAAAAAAAAAAAGAAAAAAAAAAGCATTTCTGGTTACTAAAACAATGGAATGTATACTGTTACCAGGAGTAGTCCTAGTTGTAGATTACCTTAGGAATTCTTTCAGTACTATCTTTATTAAATTCTCCTTCCACTGGATAGGGTTCTATCTATTCATACCAGGTCTGAAAAATCCTACTGTCGCTAATGGATTGGGCAGCAGAGATATTCAAAGGATCGGCAACCACCTGAAAATTAGTGATTAGGTCAAATCCCATTATGGTATCTGTCAGATTCTTGAGCCCTGAGGAAGGAAGATATAGGGCATTTTGATGTGACTTAATGGGAAAACTTCATGGAGATATCCATAGCAGCAGTAAATCTTATGGTTAGGGGAATTAGAAGTATTAAAACTGCATCAAGTCATGGGGCATGTGGAAGGTAGGCAGGCAAGATGACACTAACATGGAAGGAGAGTCCTAAAACGAGAATGGATATTCAAATATAAACTTCACCTCTTGCACAATTTTGCCCAAGATTGGCACTGAAGATGGTGTAACATAGGTTAAAAAGTTACAGATTGTGCTGAGCTTGACAAATAAGTGTATCCTCATGTAAATGGAATATAAATCACATAGTTGTAAAAAAACTGAGAGTTGAGATGACTTCTTTTAACATGAAGAAATGGATAGTAAGTGATGTCCTCAAAATCAGAGTCCTAAAAGACAACTATTTAGAACCTAAGTCACCTTCTTCCTAGTCCAGTGATACTTTCACCTCACCATGCCATCTCATTTCATATATTTTAAAATAAGTAACATTTTAAATTTATCAAAAGGATTTTTATATTTATTTTTAAAGCATTATTCTTAAATATGGATCAGACTTGAAAAGTGTTTATGAAATGTTAATTTAACCAGTGTTAAGAGAACTAGCCAAACCTAGAGATTGTAAAACTTTTTCACTTTATTGTTTGAAAAAAAAAATTAATGTCTTGGCACACCACCACCCCAAAATCTCAACTTTTGAGTTAATATTTAAAAGTAATTTTTAAAAAAGAGTTCATTTTCTTAAAAAACAAGAGCA